TTTATACAGGCAGTAATCATGTAGTTATACAGTGTATCTGTCTGTTCAAGCATGTATTGTGCTATTGTATGTAGATTACTTTAAAGAGTCGGAAATTACAGTTATAGTTGTAGACTCCATCGGTGAGAGTTCCCGACAACACTTCCGACTGTGTTCCTTGCAGTCCTTCTCCCCTTTTAATGGTAGTTATGTGCCCACACCTCTTTTTGCCCTACCATTATATAAAGATAACAGGAAAAGCAGGGTTATAGCAGCAAGAGGGGGTGGGAACCTAAAGCATATTTGTAATTAGGCAAGTCTTAAGTCTTGCTGAGTTTTGTATTGTAAGTGTTTTGTGACAAAATAAGCAGATTTCCTCAAGGATGCTTGAGAAAGTAGCAGTGCACAATGAGGTAGCTATAGTCTCTTACATATACATATATATATATATATATAGTAGAGTAGGGTTAGAGGAAACTGCCTGTCAACACTTATACAAATGCCACTAAAAAATGCCCTTTCCTGTCTGTGTTAAGTTTGTTAAATTTCTGCTTTGTGATTACATTTTTCCTGGACAGTGAAAATCTATCATTTGTAAAAAAAACTTCTACAACATAAACGGTATACATTGCAGTTATGCTTCATATAAGGCAATATTATTAAGGAATAACTCTAACTCCAATTTATAGGCATCTTTAATGTCCTCCTCTCTGAAGGCCCCTACTGCTTTTCTTTTAAATCTCTATAACACTTACCTTTTTTCTTGCTGTGATGTCACAGGTCCTCTTCTGTGATGGTGGTGGCTGTGGGCGGTCTTTACATTTAGACTGCATTCAGGTAATGACATGTGATTGCCATGCTGTCCAGGAGTACTGTGCACCCTTGATGACACTGGGCATCATTCAATTTGGAAGAAGAAAAAAAATTGATTTTTCTCCTGGAGATCCGACCTCTCGCGGTGATACCCCTTTATGAAGTAATAAGTCCGTCTACCAGGACCATGACCGAATAGACATAAAAAAAGAGGGAGAACCTAGCCAGAGAGGGGGTGGCCAGATCAAGCGGTTATTAATGGAACGGGACGGACTAAATTATGCGTGATTTCGTTAAAAGGTATTTATTGGTACAAAAATGTCAAAAGGAAAAAATATATGAACACCATCATCAATTCACTACTAACCGGTTAAAATTAACATACATTGTCTGCGGACTTCAAACATACTCTGGTTGGAAGGGTTAACCACATGTAGTATAAGTGTATCTCATCAGAATCAACACAATCAGACTAATGAATGACCATCTGGTCAGAAATGACATTACTTAGTAACAAAACCCGATAGTAGAAAAGTAATGCCACAGAACAAAGAGGAAAAAATGTATAAGAAGTTGTGCACTTTGTAACAGATCCGTTCCGAAAAGGCAGATTGATTGTCTCTCAGTATATGGAAACTCGCATTGGGTCCGTGCTCATATCTTCTCTGTAGTACTAGTCCTCAAATCTTTGGTGCAAATAAGTTAGTTAGGAATATTCCTGTATTTTTATTCAGAACCGGTGTTAGAGTCGAGTACGGAATCCTATACTTAATGTTGGGTCCAGTGTGATTTCTAGAGGGGTATAACACTATTCACGTTTCACGGGGTACATCAACCGTTTTTAAGGTCTGTATTTTAATGGCAGTGGTTAATCCTGATATCTGCAATTTGACGTTGTTGACGGCGATGTCACCGGAGGATGATGTGATGTAAGTTACAGAGGTTACATTTTGTAGTGTAGATGAAACAAACACGAATACGCCCGAGCCTATCACTATTCAGGAGCAATGAAGCCTAGTTGTCACCACAGCATGCTACATTAGGTGGTCTTCACTGACAGGCTCAATGGGTATTTGTGAAACTTTGCAGGTGGATGAATAAAAAGTGTATGTACAGATGAGCTTGAGTCCTGCAACATATTCTTTTTTAGATTTTTACTTAACCACTAGATTGGGCTGCCAATATAGAAAGTATAAAGTGTGTTTTTTAGCATCAATAGGACAGAAAAAAATCACTTTCTAAAGATGCTGGGATGCAGGAATTTCCTCCCAGAGGGAATGTATAACTGACATGCTAACAACTAATGGTTCTAGTTGTTGGGTTTGTCAGCGAAACTGATTTGCAGTTTGAACACAAAAAGTGAAAGTAGGTGCACATATTATATTTCCAGTTTGGACATGCAAGTGTACTACAGGGTATCTTCATGCCTATTGTTATCAGCCCATCTAATGCTGGACGGTAGAGCAGAGAGTTTGCATCAGACTCTGTCCTGCTTCAAGCATAATGATGCTGTAAGAGAATCGAGTTGTCATGTTAATTTCCTCTTTATTTCCTCGAAAATGCCTGTTGCTATTTTAAATTACTGACGTATGCTTGGGTTTGTTCTATTGTTATCAGTTCCTCTTTTGCGTAAAGGGAACCATTACTTGGACTAGGCAAAGTAAAAGCTGTAGTTGATAACAGACACCACTGGACATTTATAGCCACCTTCCCCATGCTTCCTTACTGACTGCCCTGACCTGAACCTGATTTGCAGTGGTTGGTGCCTATGCAGCCACTCACTATGTCTGAGTGTTCTTACAAAGGGGTGAGGAGGGGAGTGTGCATAGTGAAGCTAATTTCAGGGAGGATGGAAAATAAAAAGCAAACACCCTACACCCTCCTTCAACCAATGTAAATAAAAAAAATGTGCAGTCACGTGACAGGATGAACTCAAGTCTTCTTTCTTTTAGGCCCCTTTCACATGGGCCGATCAGAAGAGGATCCGTCAACAGATACTCTCCTGATAGAGTGCTACAGAGTGGATGTCTCCGCTTTGACATCCGTGTCCGTACACTTTTTTTCCCCCATCTTATGATGGAGGAAAAAACGGAAAGTGTCGGACCCCATGTCGGTTCGTCAAAACGGATCAATGATCCATCATTTTTACCGGACGGAGCCGGGGCTAACCGGGTGTAAACAGACACTTGTCTATTTACACCCGGCTGCCCATAGAATTGCATAGAGCGTCCGATCGGGTCCGGCTAAAAAACTAACAGGCGGACCTGATCGGACCGCTCGTCTGAAAGGGGCCATAGACTGCAGTGTGGGAGGGTCCATTTTCTAGTGTCACAGTCATAATAGGATCCTGAAGATCACCACTGTAATGATGTCACAATAAGGGGCAGCAACAACAGCCATTAGATCAACAGCCTTTACTTCCTAAGTTGACACTGCAAAGAACCGCATGATGGGGGACTCCATAAAGTAAAGAAGAGGTTTAGGAGTGAGTCTGGGGGTTGGCGGAACGTGAAGTTTGGCCTAGAGATGGGTTTAAGCAGGTTTCTATTATGAAAGTCGATCAATTGATCAAAATCAAGGTTTATACATTTTTGGGATGCCACAACAGGTCAGAGCAGTGGGGGGATGTGGTCAAGGTAAGCATAGACTCCATGTGGAGCATGCTATCAAGTGAGCCTGTTACTTTGCTTTATCTGGGACACTAGTTGGCAACATTTAAAACTAGGTGGAAGCTATCTTAGTTCTGTAAGGTGCAAACAGTTTGGATGCACTTGCCTTTTCTGTCCTGCATAAATACTACAACAAAACATTACATAGTATGAGAAGCAAATAGAGTTTGTTGATGTGCAACAACCCAGCATTGAAACCTATTGGGGTAAACACTGGATGGCACTAAGGTTGCTACCAGGTTGGTATTTTTTTAACCTGGCTGGTAAAAATTAGACTAGCTGCTAATGTCATTAATAGGAAAGAGATCATGAGGCCAGAAACCCTAAGGCCCCATTCACACTAAGTGACACTTACCTCGAGCGCATTTTCGCGCGGCCGGGATAGCGCAACGTTTCGCCGACGATCGCGCAACCTTCACCGTTGGGCTGCATGCAAAAATAGAAAAATCGCACAACATCCGCGGGAAACAGGATCCTGCACAAGCGACGCACGACAGCGACAGGCGACATGGAGCTGTAGAATAGAACAGCTCAATTGAAAATCATGGGTCAAGCGACTTCTTGTGATATCACGCGGCAAATATGCGCGATATCGCGGCAGAAATCGCGCGATTAAATGCTCAGTGTGAATGGGAACTTAGTGGCACCAGCAGGTTATTGTGTATGCTATGTTGGGACTTCTAGTTTGTGGCTATAAATTTCCTGTTAGATGTTGTATAGTACAGATTTGATTCAGCAAATATGTTTTCTATATCTTGACTGGCTGGAAATTTCTTAGCACAAGGAATTGTATACACAAGGTAAAGCCCACATAATGAAAAATGGAATTTGCTGGCATGCAACCACCCAGCATGAACTGGCAAAGTGTAAACCCTTCAGAGCTATGGACAAGTTTAGGCAACATGCTTATCTCATTGTCAATGAGTATATAGAAATGCAGGGACATTAGCACTTAGGGTGAGACATGTCTACAAAGCAAAGTAAGCAGCTCCATTGGTTTAGGCTGGAGACTCTGGATAATAAAAATGTTTACTAGATCTCCAGTCTGCCAGGAGTTTAGCCATTGACAGGAGTAGTGACACCAGCATCGCTACCCCTGTCAGCCAGGTATGGGATATAGAGAAGGAGGCAGGGCCATCCATATAATGAGGCAGATGCCTCAGGTGGCATTTCATTGAGGGGTGGTGGGGCGGCAGGGGTGGCCACAGCATCACAGGTTGTTAAGAGCTCTTAGCAACCTGTGACTCTGTGCGGTTTCCCGGCTAGTGACCATTCTCTGCCAACACCCCCCCTTCGCGACAGCCATAGAAGGAGGTGTAACAATTTCCATTTACTCTAAATGAATCGTGAAAGATTCCTTTCACTATAAAATCATGTTCAGCAATTAGCCCCCCCTAAACAATTTAATTAGGACTCTTAAAGTTCTAAAATTTCCCAGGCCGGTACAAAGTGTGTGAGAACTGTTTGAACAGTGTGCGAAAGACATGAAATGATCAGGCCCCAGGTTCATTTACATAAATTTGTCTTTATTTATTTTAGGGACATCCTGAAGCAAGGGGGCTCTCCTGTCGACAGCGCTATTGCTGCACTGATTTGTACCACAGTAATACATCCACAGAGCATGGGCCTTGGAGGTGGTGTCATTTTCACTATTTATAATGCTTCAACAGGTACATGCCAACCACTGATGTATTTTGAATAAATGTTATCATTTCCAGTATTTTAGTGTAATAAAATTAAAGACAACTTCATTACACTGTGTGTTCTTCTTGTGTGTGTGTGTATATATATATATATATATATATATCTCTTTCTTCTTCTTTGCAGGAGAGAAGGAGGTCATTAATGCTCGAGAAACTGTGCCTAGCAGGTCTCCACCAAATCTGACAAAGCAGTGCTTCAGCCCTGGTTTTGTGAAACCAGGTAAGTGCCGGAGTCATAGGGAAGACAGCGTTTAGTTGCAATATAGGTAAGCTATAAGTCTAAGATAAGGCCAAGAGAAGGCTGCCAAATTGAAAGATTATAGATATGAGGAGTGCTCTACCCAACTATTCTTTTAGAGTATATTTTTGTTCACATTTACTTAGGCAGCATGAACTCAGAATACAACTTTTATGAGAAAGTATCCTTCTGTTGAAAAATATTTAAAGCCCAAGTAAACTCTCATTTTAAATCAGTTAAATAGATTTCAGGTGGAAGACAAAAAGTGTGCAAAGTTTTAGAATTTGTTTTCCTTAAGGTGCCCATACACTAACCCTCGCAAGACTTTTGTCTTGTGAGGGTTGTAAAGTACTTAAAAAAAGTACGATCTGCCCATCTTGGACAGGCAGATCGTACTTGCGATCATCGCAAGCCCGCCCCCCTGAGGGGCGGGCTTTCGATGACTGTAATGAGGGGCGGGCTTACGATGACTGCAAACGGGCAGTGTGCGCGTGTGCACACTGGCCCGTTCGGCAGTTGTGGAACCAGCAGGCCACTAACTCGCCGAGAATCGTACGGTTCCCGGCGGGTTTTCTAGCATGCTGGTTCGACGGAAGACGTGCGACCGTACAGTACAACCGGTCGCACGCCTTCCATACACTGCACGATTATCGTACGATCGCGGGATTTCCCGCGATTCTCGTACGAGAATCGTGCAGTGTATGGGCACCTTTAGAAAGTGTCTGTTTTCTGCCAAAAGCTGTAGAGAACCTTGTTCCCATAAGAAAGCAGTGATCTCTCTGCAGAGTTTCAGCATGCCTCCTGCTGAGTCAGAGAGTTAGAGCTCTCCAATCAGTAAGCAGCATGATGATGAATAAAACTGTACAGCGCTCAAAACCTTCCTATAAAGTGCGCACACAAAGTGCATATAAAGTGCCTAAATAGATATTAATAAAAATGTGCAAAAAATAAATAAATATATATATATATATATTTTAAAATAAATATACGGTACATGTGCAAAAACAGTGAAAAATATGGGACTGATAAAAATGTATAACACCATAAAATTGATTAAAAAAAGCATATAATCAGTCCAATAAAACAGTCCAATCCTCAGTAGTGAAAATTTGGAAAACTTTTAGGTGAAAGAAAGAAAAAACTCCTTCCAAAAACCAATCCAGTGCAAATCCAGTAGCTTAAAGTAAACATTATTAGTGCAAATAAAGGACTGAATTACATACCTAAAATCGTTAAATAATTGACAACAAAAGTCTTATCTATTGGGTAGATGAGGGGAAATATGATAAGCATCATATTCTGTAGTATTTGAGATATTTATAGAAAGTTGCACACCATGTATTTTTCAAGGAAGGAAAAAACAGTGTGTTCGATAAGGGAACCAGTACAATGTAGTAATTCATGTGTTATGCAGAATCAGGGGAAGGTTTACAAAAACAGAGAAGTTGAGGGATGTAATGCATTTCTTTAAAAAGATTAACCCGTGCTTGACTGCAAACTGTAGATTAATTTTCTAAGTCATGGTGCCCAATGCTGAGAAAATTTCAATCTACAGCTTGGAAGCAGGATTGCATTAGGAACCCTATGTGCATTCTATGCTGTCACTGAGCATGTGATCACCATGGCCACTAATGATGGTGATCACATGAGGTTTGTTGCAAACAAACCTACTGGCTCAGGTTGTCACTGTACCTTGTACAGAGGGAGGCACAGTGACAGCTGACACCAGCAGACTGCAGTTGTCACAGTACACTAGAGCATTCATAATGTATTTAAAAAACTGTTTAGTTTAAAATAACCAAAAACATGTTTAACATTTTTCCCATTTGTCTGTTTATAATTTAAAAAAAGAGCTTAAACTTTATTAAATCTGTGTCCCAAATAAAAGCCTTGTAAGAAATATGTCACCAGCATACCTGTAAAAGAAACGCCTTTATTGATGTTCATTTTAGTAAATTCAAGAAGCTTCTTGCTGAAATAAACATCAATAAAAGTGTTACTTTTGGAACTACAGGTATGGTGGTGACATATTTCTTACTTGGATTGCATGCAGAACCATTCGCATTTCACTACAGCCCCCAAAGGACAACCTACTTCAGTTAGAGGTGCGATGGGGATATCTGTATAATCCAAATAAAATGCTTGTCTTTAAAAAATAGTAATTGAATTACGGTCAAGTTAGCCAATGTATACTGACACTGCTAAGTATGATCTGAAGATTAAGGTTATAATGATGTCTGGTCATGAAAGGTTTAACCAGCTTAGAACTGAACTTTCATTGTACAAATATGTATAAAGAAAAAAAAGTTGACCCTGGTCAGTATAAAAATGTCCTTGTTGGATTTATATGGTACCGTCTTAAACTGTACTCCATACAATATTCTGACCAAAGCAATAAGGGAGGGTTTCTTGTAGTGACATCCACAGATGGTGCCATGCAATCATATTCACAAAGAGAAGAAGAGTCACCAGCACGCCATATAAAGACAACAGAATTAGCGTAATTTTATGTTGATAGTGTCACATACAGTAGGTCATACAGCCAAATCTACAAATACTGTCCTTCTGCTCAGTCATTACATTATTATTACGGTCAAGGAATAGGTTAGTCTGCTGATGTTATTACTGATGCCATTTAGGCCCCTTTTACATGGGCACTGTCTATTCTGATGAGCCGGGAATCTATGCACAGATCCCCTTCTGATTGAAGCAGAATGGAACAGATGTCAGTTTTGTGACATCAGAGCCCCTTTAAACTTTTCTCCTCCATGTTATAATGGGGGGGAAAGCTGAACTAATCAGACACATGTTATATCTATGGGCAGTCCGATGTAAGCGAACATGTATCAGTTTACTAAAAGATTACTTCTGATCCATTGCGATCAGGTCCGCCAAAGGCAAATCTGTTCTTTTTTTCTGGACCCAGAAGTAGTCAGGTATAATTGAATGTAAATGAATGTAATCGAATGCATTTCTGTTTAGATCGGGCTGCCCATAGAATCACATTGGGCTTCCGATCAGATCCACTTGAAAAACTGATAGGTGGACCTGTTTAGACTGCCCATGTGAAAGGGGCTTTAGTGCTTTAGCAGGCCTCTGACCTTCTCACTAAATAATTTGTAGCAATTATCTTTAGGTAAATTTTATCAAGCTGTATTGACACAATTGTGCAGAAATCAGTATAGTCCATAGAGCATGGGATTTCTGGGGCAAGGTGGTGAAACGTTACCCCTATACTCCCCCAGCTTCCTTTCAGCCAAAAACAATTTCTTTCTCTGCTCATGATGGTTTTAAATAAATTTTGGTATAATTTTTACAAGTTAAAGAGCAGAAATTCTGCATACAGATATGGAAATCCCAGGAATTTGACAAACAGGCATTCAGGAGATATACTTTTCTGTCCAACCACATGATGCAGTCCTGAAAAAAATCTGGTACTGAAGTTAGTCTTTGAGGTGCTTGAACATTATGTACAAATGTAGATGTGTTAGGCATGTAAAATAACTTTTTTTTTACATTTACCATAGTTTCACATTTATGACCAAAGTGAGTCAAATTAAAAGCAAAATTTCAGAGACACTGAAGAATTGTAAGCTTTTAAAGGGGGAATTAAATGGCTGACAGAAAGATTAAGGATTGTTAGAAATGTTTTAGGAAATTAGTAAGCAGATTAGCTGTGGGGAGGCTGATAGGTAATTAAACGGTTACAATAATAACTGACTCAGTATCCCCTAACCTCAGGTTGTCCTATACAGGCGTGCAATGGATTGGGGTACCCGGAGAGCTAAGAGGATACGAGGCAGCACACCGGCGGCATGGGCGACTACCATGGAAATCACTCTTCGAACCAACAATTAAGCTAGTGACAAATGGAATTCAGGTTTCAAGCCTTGTGAGCAAATATCTGGCTTTTTTTGAAAAGTTAATAAAAAAGCACTCAATTTGGTAAGCACAATGAATGTAAATACGTTATGCAGTGTTTGATATACTGAATTGGATGGACAGATGCATAGATTGATGAACAGATTTTTCAGTATAGGTGAATTAAGAAAAAGTGGTTCCCAAAGACCATGCCAATTTTGATCATGTATAAGCATGAGTAGTAATCTGCATTTGGTTTGCTGTGTATGAGGGCTCATTTGCATCATGTCCATTGTGCTGCGCTGATCTGCATTGATAAATAAACGCTTAACACAACAACTGTTTTCAGTTAACACTATACAGTTGCTAAATATGCAGCATGTCTTTATTCTTACATAATGCATAACAACGGGTTGCAATGCACAGTAGTGTATCACAACACTCTGTTGTGCATAGAGTTGCATGGCATGTTTATTAACTTTCAATAAAGTTGGAAATAACAAAGAAAAAACGTAAACAATGTGTTGTTACAGTGGTTGCAGAGTGAGTGCATAACATTCGTATTCAGGTGTAAATGAGCCCTGAGCTTGGGAAGCATGTTAAAGGAGAACTATGAGGTGAGTGCTTTTCACTCACCTCATAGTTCTAGCCAACCTGTGACAATGAGACTGTCACAGGTCGGCTCAGTAGATCGGGAGGTGACCGAACACATACCGGCGTTCGCTCACCTCTTGATCCTGTCACGGCTCTCTGCCATGACGGGGGAGGGGCTGGATTCCCCCCTCTCCGCTCCAATCCGCCAGCGCTGACTGGTGGAACGGACGGGGGAGAGGTGAGTACAGCTGGCTCTGCCTCTAGATAGGCAGAGCCAGCTGTCAGTCACGCAGCTGGGTGGATCCCGGAACAATTGTCGGGATCCGCTTCAGCTGCGGCGTCTCAGTATACCGCGAGCTACAGCTCGCGGTATACTGAGCCTAGGGTGACGGAAGAACGCTGGTTTGTGTCCTCCCGTTACCCTAAGGAGAATTATGGGGAAAAGCCTTAACCTCATAGTTCTCCTTTAATGTTAATATTTCTGTTGTCACGTAGACAACTTCATTAAGGTTCTACATCTATCTATTTTTTACAGTCAGCTGTTGTGTGAGAATGAAGAGGTGCTAAAGGAAGGACAGGCCATAAACTTTACCCAGCTAGGACGTACTCTTCAAGTGTTGGCAGATGAAGGAGTTGAAAGCTTCTACAATGGATCCATCTCAAAGAAGCTGCTAGAGGACCTCAATAATGAGGGTAAGTTCTTTTATCTTACACTGTGTGGTTTGATCTGTACTTCAAATCATTGGGATACACCATCCTGTAACCATACAGTTGTATTTTGTTCCCAATTGTTTTTGGAGGGTTTTACAGATACAAGAAGAGTAAACATTTCTTAAGTTAAATAACAATATGTATTCATGCTCTTTGTAAGGTCACGTAAGTAAACACCCAGGATCTTGTATATAATGATTTTGTTTTTACCTATAGCAGCCAACTCTCCCTTAAGGCTAGTGTGCCTACCTGTACTCAGATGCCCCCAGGACTTGGACTATATACTCTGGCCGTGGATGTCGCTACAGACCCGCAGAGTAAATATAGCGTAGGGCAGTGGAAGGTGAGAGTTGAAGAGGAATCCAAGAACGCAGCGAAAGGTCAGGGCCGGTAGCAGACAAGGAGAATCTGGTAAATGTAACAAGAGGTCAAGGCGGGTAGCAAACAAGGAGTATCCGGTAAACATGGCAAGAGGTCAGGACAGGAAGCAGACAAGCAAGAATCCAAGAAACGTAGCCGAGGCCAGTTCCAGAAACTAAACAAAAGCGAGCACACTTGTTCAGCCAGGAGACACTATCACAAGGACACAGGCCTCCAAGGACACAGGCCAATCCCAGCTATGGGTGTGAGACAGAAGCAGACTGCGCAGCTGAGAGGTAAATCTTCAGCCAGCACACAACACTGTTTTGCAATCATTACAGTGCAAAGAACATACAAATGCAAGTTAAAATTTGCCAAAAATGTATGACTAATTTAAGGTATTAGTATGGTTATAACTCATGGATGAAATTGATTGGCAAAAGATAGCTGTAGGTGGTTAGCTGCCTGGCCTGACCTTTTGTGGCGATTGTGTAATTGTAAAGGGCCAATGTTTGGCCAAGTGCTGTATATCATTTGCTTTTGCCTGTCTATAAGAGTTTCATAGTGATGGTAATCGCTTCACTGATTTCATGAAAGGAGACTGTAGAGTGATTGGATAAACCACATTTATATGAGGATAAGTATAGGGCTGGAGCTAAGAGGGGCAATTGGTAAGGGGTCAGGGTTGTGGGGCATTCGAAAAGGGTTTTTGTCCCACAGGGTGGATTCACTACTCTCCAATGCAGGGGCGTCCCGAGGCTGGGTGACACCCGGAGCGGTAACCTAGTGGCACTGCGCATGCGCGTGACGTCACCACGCGTGTGTGCGATGACGTCATCGCGCACGCATGCCAGTATTCTGATACCTGCCGGTGGCCATCTTGGTGATGGACGCCGGCAGAGAGAGGAGGGGACAGTCACCCGGCGGGATAAGGTATGCCGCCGGGTCCCCTCCTCTCTCCTGATACTCTCGGGCGATTCGGTCCATGACCGAGCGCCCGACTTTTCAGAGGGGGGTGACACCAAAATGACTGTGAGTCATTTTGGTGTCACCCCTCCAATGGTGTCACCCGGGTGCGGGCCGCACCCCCCTTGTGACGCCACTGCTCCAATGGCTTCCTGAAAGGTATTCTATGGATTCAAGATGCCCCTGAAGGCTTCTATGCGATCATTCAATATATGGGATACTTCTTCATTTATCATTATCCATGAATGTTTAGCTTTTACAAGTTAACATTGAATAGAGGATGTTTTCTGTGATCTGGCTATGACAATTCTAGCTGAAAGAGAAAAAAAATAAAGGAAATCAGTCTTCTGTCGGGACAGGAATATCTCTGGAGGGTCAGTTTAGTAGAGCCTCATTTGAGGATTTGCTTGGTTTAGGCAGGTTCACCATATTTGGTATGCTGTGCCTTGGAAGCATTTAGGGGAAGTGTCAGGGACCAAAGAAATTTTGTGATGCAACGATTTACCACCTTAGCAGGACCTTTTAGCTTGCCTTAATAATCGCAATGTTAATATAGAACTTAGAAGCTCTGCATTCTAATCTGTGCCATAACTGAGTTCCATGATTTCCCCCAGATCCTTCTTCTACCTTTCCATGTAGGGCAGTTTAGAAGCTAAAATATTGTGTATTGTGGATATATGGCCAGTGATCATGTCAAGGTTCCTGCAGGGGGTTTCAAAATAGTACATTAATGTCAAATCATTCTGTTTCACCATAGATTTAGGAAAATGGCATATTTGGTTGAATCAGTATAGTTCAGTATTTGTCATGTGATATTTTTGTAGGTCAATCCCTAGATGGGAGTCACATTAAGTGCTTGATTGACTTCAGGGAGCAAATTTGCGATTCAGTTATGGTCCATGTTGGGGATGGATTTTGGGAGTGGAAGGTGATTAAATGGGATATTTGTGCAGTGTGGAAATATTTTGTAAGGACATAGACCTCCTTGCTACTTCGGTGTGAAATGAATCAGTCTGTTGACTCTTGGTCTTTTGTTACCACTTATGAAGTTTCTTTTGAAATAAGGAAAGATTAGATTTTGGAATTCCAATTGGAAGCATTCTGAACACGTATAAAATTCTAGGTATTATTTTCATCTTATGAGGTGTAATCTCCTGAACAATGAGTGTGGTAAATGGGCCCATTTATCCGGGTCCTCTGAAAGTTTTGAAATAAGGGAGCGTAGTTCTGTTGGTATAAATTCTGAATGTAGGATTATTACCCAAGTATGGAAGTATGCCAGATTGACAGTTTAATTGAAAATTAGCTTATACATTTCTGAGGATTTAGTCATTCAGGTTAAGATCGAGAGCTTGGAAATTAGAATTATTTATTTTTAGCCTAGATATAGCTAAAAACTGTCATAGTGTTTTTGTAAAGGTTTAGAATGGAAGACACTGGAGATGTGTTCATCAGGAAGATGTTGGGGTTGATTTACTAACCTTATAAACACGCCACGAACAAGTATACACCTCTGTAGTGTGTTCGCTCCCAGCATGATCTATTGGTGGAATCTAGACACCTTTGTAGTGTGTACACACCCAGCAGGTGTGTTGTGCAAAGCCCTGCATGAATTGCAAGGTGATGTTGTGTAAATTAGCTCTACGTTGTGTTGCTTGCGTTGATGAATGCAGGAATGTAAATGCATGAGCTAACCATTTTTGTCTAAACTGTGAAGCAGCATTATATATGCATCATGTGCATGATTTTTCCATACATGGCATTAGTGGAAATATGCTTTTAGAGACTTGCATGCCACTATTAGAGCGGCGTGTAGCCTATGGAGCATGCTACATGACGCGCACGTACGTAAATACGTAAGTTTGGTTGATAAATACGTTTTGCTGTGTAAAAATGCACACGCACCTGGTGCGTGTGTGTGTTTAGGTTAGTAAATCACCCCCGTTGTCTGAGAAAAACGCTCATGTATGTTCCTGTCTCTGCTTTTTACTGTATGTCTTTTATATCTGTATTCTCTTGAATTACAATGGCCAGGGGTTTTCAAGACCAAAATAAATAAAAGTATGGAGAGTGAGCAGCCCTGTAGCATGCCTCTGAAAACATTGAATCTTTGGAATTTGTACCCTTTTAATGATAATGCAACATAAGAAGAATGATATGTACATGGGAGTAATCACCAGCAAATATGGACTTAAATTCTCATATATCTGTGTTGTTCTTGGCATGCTTTCTAGTTCTCTGTTTACTAGGGCATTAGCCCTAGTAAACAGGTCCTGTTGACTTTAGTAGTGCAGAGCTCTAACAAAGGGAGTCTGTGACCTAGGTTGCATGCATGCACTCTTTAAGAAATTCTTACTTTACTTAGTGTATTAAGTTGGTAGGATTTACTGTCAAGGTCTGTATTTTGGGTATGTATTTTGGGTTAAGCTGGCCAAACACTAATCAATTTGCATCAAATTTTGTATGTTTTTAGATGCGATCAAAATGTTAAAACATTTCTGGGAGAGTGTTTACTGTCATATCCTATTTGGCCCAAAATATGATCCTAGTTACAATCCTAATTCTTATTGTTTTAAATAAACCTTCTTTTAGTTATGCATCCCATAAAATGCTAAAATTAGAAGTCAGTCTTTTTATAAATGCTGTATTCTGATTTTTTTTAAATTGCCCAATTTCTTTCTTGTCTTTGATCTCAAGAAAAGTGTTTAACCCTTTGCTGCCAGTTCCCAGCAGCCCTTTATAAGGATCTTATTCCCGGGAGTCAGAGACAAGCTTCCCAATTATGTTATTGCTGTGATTGGCTGCCAAAGCAGTCATTTGATCGGGAGTCATTTGATCGGGAGCCCATCCCACTGGCTCCTGATCATAGGGAGTCACTGGAAGCTCTCAGTGACAGCTCTCTCACTGTGCTGGGAGCAAGCTAGTGAGCATATTGTTTACGCCAGCAGGAATATGTTAAAAATTGCCTGTACGTTGTTTGTTTTTTTAAAAATAGTTTTTAACATTTTTTAAGGACTATTTAATTGGATTACAAACAATTCTAGTGAAAGGCCAATGTGCACTTTTACATATGTCCTTTTAAAGACTTTTCTACTTTCAGTGACAAAGTAATAATATTTTATTTTGAAAGCAAGAATGCAACAAACAATTGCAAGCCCATAGTATTTGGTCAAAAAGATGGACTGAGGTTACAGTTACATAGCAATGACTGTTTGTAATGCCATGACTCTCTGCCAAGACAGACAAAAGTACACAGTCACAAGGCCACATATGCAAAGGTGAAATAGAAACACATGTTCCATTAAGTAACAAAATAAACAATCGGTCTCTTGTGTAGCTGGCCCAGTAATTGAAGAATTGAATCAAAGATTAATGGCGGTTGGCTTTCATTCAATTCCTCAGGAGATAGGAGAAATGGTCAAGTTATTATTATAGCGGAATACTAGACTGAAAAGGGGGGATCATGTGCAATTAATCTGGTCAAATATCAGTGGGTATACTAAAAACATAGTGATATTGATTGTTGAGTGTCAACTGATAATGTCTGTCTAAAGGATTCCCATAAGTCAAAACATTTTTGGACCTGGGTTTCCTCATCTACAGAGGCCTCCACCCACTCCATATGGAATACATACATTCATTTTTTAAGAAACAAGGGTAGAGGTGCAGGGTCAGAGTAGATCCACTTATGTAAAATTGAATTTTTAGTCTCAAGAGAGATAATGAGCAATTGCATACAACCTATAGAAACATGGGTGTCTGGAATGTCTACTATACCAAAAAGAGCTCATTCGGGAGTCACAGGTAGATCATTTTTTGTTTAGTTTTAAGTGTATTAATAAAAGCAACAGTTATTAACATAGTTACATAGTGGAAACAGCTTATCAAATAATATAAGATAGAGTTGGTCAAATCAAATGTGGCCTCTGACATCACCAAAGGGTTGCACATAATATTCAGTAAATGTAATGCAAAGAATGTGGAATTGTTCAAGAAACTTTTGGACGATTTCTTAAGGGACCGTAATATACAGGGGTACAGGTACTCCTAGAATGAGATCCTAATAGGTTGGACTTGATGGACTAATGTCTTTATTCAACCTCAAATACTATGTAACTATGTAATAATACAGAAAGCTGTCAGAGACAGCAGACAGGCAAAAACCAACAGCATGCTACAAGAGATGGTCAGAGACTGTGGACATTCTACAGGAGAATGTCAGAGACTACAGAGATACTATAAGAGTTGTTGGAAAATGGACACATGCTTCAGGGGACAGTCATAGACTGGAAACACATTACATGAAATTGCTATAGATCACTGCTAGTATAGCACCTTTACAAATCAGTTCTTCCACATTTTATTCCCTACAACCCACTTAAAAATTACTGGTGTCGCATTTGATATTACATTCAGCTAGATGCATTATAAAACATAAGAGGAAAACACATAAAAAGGGAATAGGGATGGACAGCACATAAAAAAATAAGATAGTGTGAAAGAAATAAACCAAACTATTTATCTACTAGAATTCAGTCTAAAGAATATTTTTTCTTCAATGACTTAAATAAGCACCAAAACACAGAATTCTATCTGCAGGGGTTCTGAAGGCCACACAGTAAGTGCCAAAGTGCCTCCAGACCCCAAGTTGGTGACCCAGGATATAAAGAGTCACCATTTCAACCAGGATATAGGACAACCCTAATTGCATAGTTCCAATAATGAAAATAACTCTTCTTCTGTCAATTACTTTTAGTTTGCTTTTCTTTAGCTACAGTTATTTTTTTCTCTGTATTATTTTATACAATACTAATTAATTGTATACTGTGTGTTTTTATTTTGTGCTTGTAGGAAGCTTTTTGACCGAAGATGACTTACAGAATTACAAGGTACAAATTGTAAGACCGTTGAACTTCTCTCTTGGATCCCACACCTTGTATTCTCCTCCTCCCCCAGCAGGAGGCGCTATACTTAGTTTCCTTCTCAATGTACTAGAAGGTAAGAATATTGTTACAACCATCTAGGCAGGTCATAAGTTGTGTTTATGTGTTTTACATAAATATTATGTAAAATGTTATTATAGTTTTATTGTTAAATCTGTTTTTATTGCGAAGAAAAGTATTACAAAACATAAGACTCAGAACAGCACCAAACAGGATAAGAACAAGAAGTCCTTTGCCAGCAGAGTGAGTGCTCAGTCAATAGCCGATGAAAAAGTGCGGCAACACAGAATTCCATATACCATAAGGGAATCGGGCTAGGTGATAGAATAGTCTTTACACATAAATCACACAACATAAATCAGAAGAGCAATCCGATCAAATCACAAAACCTGAAAAAAAGGGGGGTTGATGGAAAGGTATGACCAGAATAGAAGAAGACAAAGTAAGAAAAGAAATAAACAAGGAAAGCAATAAGGAGGCCCCAGGGGGAGGAGAAAAAAAAGTGTTCATATTCCATAATGTGTAAAAAAGAAAAGTCAACCACAACAAAATAAATGAAAGTCAAAATTGGCGTATAAGTTGCATGCCATCCTCTCTATTTCAGTAATACGAAACTCTGACTGTCCTAATAGAAAGGCTTCGGATGCACCAATACTGTTTTTTCGGTATCAAGTCCTGATATTTTTTTCGGTACTCGCCAATACGAAATACCGTTACCGAAAGTCCCATTAAGGAAGCTGGGTGGCATGTAATGACCTGCCGCCTGGCTTCCTGGTTGGCCTGCTTCCCGATCAATCAGGAAGCTGGGCAGTGAGTCACTACACACAATCTAGCTTCCTGGTTGACTGGGAAGGCGGCTCCATGCTCCCTCGTCACCAAGTGATGAAGGAGCATGGAGCCGGTTTCCCAGCCAATCAGGAAGCCAGGGGGCGAGTCATTACCCACCCCTCGGCTTCATGATTGGCCGGAAAGTAAGCTCCATGGTCCCTGGTGACGAGGGAGCATGGACCCATCTTCCCGGCCGGTCAGGAAGCCGGGCGGCGTGTAATGACCCGCCACCCGGTTTCCTGATACCGGAAGTTCTGGTATCAAGATAAGTCTCGGGAGCATTTGGACGAGTACTCACCCAAATACTCTGTATTGGCAGTGATACTAGTATCGGTATCGGTGCATCCATACTTAGGACAGACTGAGCATCTCCTCATTAGCATTCAGGCCTTTAACCCTTTGTTAGGATACACTTTTGCTTTACTAGTTTACAAGTAATAATGAAATCTGCCAGCCAGGCACAAACAGGATACATTTTTTGAACAGTGAGAACTAAGCACGATTTTTTCAGTCCTGGAATTAGCACAATGGACATCTAAAACCAGTATGATGATTTGTGTGCTTTGTGATTCGGAACATGTAACAAATATAAAGTAAGTGTTATTCCAATTTGGCTTCACAAGTAGTGAACAATGCACTTTAAGTTGCAGAATAGAAGAGGTTCTCCATGAACAAGCGATTGATAGCCTAACCAGATATGTGGGCAGAGTGACTGTTCTTGGCTAATTAATATGAGAACTGGGGTGATGAGCAGACCCGGTTTACCATACCACTCCCTTCAACATGGACTATTGCTATACAAAGTCCTGTGATATGAATGTTCATTGAACTTGTGTTTTTATCCAATAAAACTTGGAAAGAGGAACTGTAAAGTGCAATAGTCCATAGACAGTACTTATAAATCGCTTTTTAACTGATCTAGATACAGTACCATTAACCCTGATTGTTGCCATGATCTGCACATCCTTGTTATCCTTTAGACTGCTTTAATGAACATGCCAAAATGAAGTATCCATAGTCTAATATTAAGCAAGTGATGAGACAGCTAGGTTTGTACAAAGCCATGAGCTCCCTGTGAATATGAACTCCTTCATTATATTGTGATGGGAAAATACTTCCAACATCTATGTAAAGAACAAGCACAAATACAGGGTCCTAATTTGAGATTTAGGTGACTTTTGCAGTCTATGCACATGAATACAGCAGTACTTACTGTGGCAATGCCTGGCAAGTCAACAGCACAACACTCTAAAATCAGAAGGGAACAGTTGGCTTTGTTATGGGGCAAAGAGAGCTGGAAAACATGTAACTACTAGTAACATAAATACTAGAGCATGTAAATAAATATAGAAAAAATAAAAATGAATGATAATAATATCATAGAATAAATGATAACATGAAAAAAACAAGTCAGAGGCTTTCTATTGATCCTCTGCAGAAGCCAAGAATGTTTAACTTTTGATAGAGAACACCTCAAGTTGAACTCAAGTTGGGGAAACTGACAGAGGGCATCTATTTTCAGGATATCACTTTTCCCCAAGCTCTGTACAGAGTGAACAGGAACAGATACAGACCTACCATTATGTCACTGAAGCCTTTAAATTTGCTAACGGACAAAAGTGCCAACTGGCGGAGGGTATGGCAGCCGGCAACACAAAAGAGGTATGAATATAAATGTATCTAATATGCAGTGGTACGTGTGTCCATGTACAGTAGATGAAGAAGTTACTGGATGTTCATTATCTGAGTGGCTTCACACATCTGAAAAGCAAGGTTCTGTTTCACTTCTAAACAAGAACACTTCATATATGAAGGATTAGATTACATTTATTGCTAGACATCAATACACATCCACACATTTACATATCACAGTATGAGTTGTACTGATTCTTCAAGATCAAATAGGAATCTTCTTCCAAGAGTATTATTTCAGATGGTACAATCAGGTGTCCAATGACAAATCATGTGTGATAGGTGCCACTTTGGATGGTGAATGTTTTCCTTCCAATAGCTAGCATCTTATGTGATTGCTTCTCAAGGTTTTACATTTCTGCCATCCTTTTTTGTGAAATTGCTCTATCTGTGTTCATTTTTATCCTTCAGTTTTCATCTCCAAGTATTAAACTTGTTTAAATGTAAGGCTTCTATGGTACATAGTCCAGATTTATAAATAGGTCTTGTCAGTATAGAACTATATATGGCCATTGCCAACTTCCAACCTTATTCAATAAAACATATTTATCAATGGATGAAATCGATAATCGCAAAGTGTATGGAAGGCGACAGGGCAGCCATCAGAAATTTTGGGGCCCCTTCCTTCCTTCCTAGCTCCTCTTACCTGCACACATGGCCTCGTCGGCCGCCGGACCGGCCAGAAGTGACATCACTTCCGGCCAGTCCGACATCAGACGAGCAGCGTCGCTGATGGGGCCCTAGCTTGTCTCAAAGCCGCTGGAGCGGCAATGCTGGGGCCCTGTGCTGCTAGGGCCAGGCCCCCGCCTCCTCGCCCTTCACCATCGGCGAAGGGACCCGGGCGGGCCCCCCAGGCTGCCCTGGCCCCTTACATGAGTATCGGACATACCCCCCTGATGGCTGCCCTGTCCGTCGAAACAAGCAGGCATGAAAACCCGCCGAGAATCGTACGATTCTCAGCAGGTTAGTGGCCTGCTTGTTCGACAACTGCCGAACGGGCCGGTGTGCGCATGCGCACACTGCCCCTTTGCAGTGATCGGAAGCCCTCCCCTCATTGCAGTCATCGCAAGTACGATCTGCCTGTCCAAGATGGGCAGATCATACAAGCTTTTAATTAGCTTACAACCATCGCAAGACAAGAGTCTTGCGATGGTTGTAAGGTGTATGAGCGCATTTACATGTTATGTCAAGTTTTGGCAATACTTACAGTAAGGTTTAACTGAACCCAGCTTTTAAATTAAATAGAATGTTTGCTATCAAAATATATAATTGTTTCCCCCCAGATTAAACCCGTTAAGATGTCAATTATTTACCCTTGTGGTTCTTTTGCCATCCTTACTCCTACAGCTTGTAGACTCCTTGCTGTCACCGAGGTTTGCACAGATGATCAGAGAGAAGATTGATGATTCCGGTGATCACACCCTCAGTTTCTATAATGTATCTTCTACCCATCCAGAAACAATGGGCACCACGCATATCTCTGTTATCACCAAAGATGGGAGTTCTGTCTCTGTCACAAGTTCCATTAATCATGTGTAAGAATGGATCATTTCATTTACATGCAGTATATCTTTTTTGTGGGGGGGATATTTCAGGTTTCAAGTGCAACATGCCTATATAAGCAGATGAACTCTGTATTTTCATTCAGGGTTGACAACCACCTGTAATTTCATGGACAGCCTGCAAAAACAAATGTTGACATGTTGTGCCTGATGAAGGGGACCCTTGCGTGCCCCCAAAACGTTGCGTTGTATGTGTGACAATATGCATCAATAAAAAGAAGACGTTCTTTTGGACACATTCATATGGTGTGCTGGGGAAGTTTTTGCTCTTTCACCTAATGTAAGGGGACACTCTGCTGGGGACACCTAATTTAAGAGGGCACTCTGATGAGGAAACTTACTGTAAGGCTGGGTTCACACCTAGGCGTACGGAATATGCACGTTTGCCGCACGTTTCGTGCCGTGTGTTTTTACCGCTATTTGCAGTAAAAGAAACGCACGTTTCCGAGGGCTATTCGACTGTATCCTAATGGATACGCGGGGCAAATACGCCCCAAAGAAGCTCCTGTACTTCTTTGGGCGTAGGGCATTTTGCAGCGCGTTCCTACGCGCTGTAAAACGCCCAGGTGGGAACCATGCCCGTAGGCAATCATTGGTTTTCACATGTTGAGCATTTTACAGCGCGTAGGAGCGCGCTGTAAAACGCCCAGGTGTGAACCAGGCCTAAGGGAGCACTCTAATGAGGACACCTAATGTATGGGAAAAACTGATGTAAGAGGCACGTTGATGGATGCTTTACTTTTTTTCAGTGAAGCCAGCCACAATGTGGTACAATCGTATCACACTGTGATTTGCCTGTAGAACATAATGAAATGTCACTTGTGACAGTTCAATAAAGTTCTAACAGAAAAATTTTAAAAATGGTGATGCGTCGAGATCAATACATCAGCACTGTGTCTGGGAAAACACACCATCAGCTGTGTGTTGCAGTGAAGCTGCTGGTGTGACTGCAGCATAAATGGCTGACTGTGGTGCAGACGCGGACTGAGTGACTGTTCTGTATGAACCCCAATCATAGGCGTGTGCAAGGGGTGTGCCAGGTGTGCCTGGGCAGACCCTAAATATCCCAAGCGCAACAGCAGGCATCATGTTTTTAGTCATGAAGCTGGTGGCGAGACCACAAAGATCATAGCGATACAGAGCACAGCCCTTACATAACAGCCACAGTCCTCAGTGCCTGGCAAACTACAAGAGAGTGTGGCTATGGCTTCCCATCCAATCAGGAAGACAGGCGTGTGGTCACATGGACACCTATCAGACTCCCTGCTTCATTACTCCACCCCTTCTGGAAGAAGTAAGGGACATTTAACCCCTTCGTGACTGACGACGTACAGTGTACGTCGCCAGCACCGGGGCTGTTTAAACAGAGTCCCGGCGACTTTTGCCGCCGGGACTCTGTTTAAACTTGTAGAGCCGACTGTCGGCTTTACAACAGAAGCGATCCTGGCGACTAAAATGAAAAAAGGGCCTCAGTCATGAAGGGGTTAAAGAGAGGGGAATCTGGGGTGCCTCAGGTCTGTGTATGTATTTATGTTATATATATATATATATTTTATTTTTTCTCCTGTGGGGAATGTCTCTCATGAACTTGCGCGGCTTCACATACTCATTTCATGGGCTAAATGCACATCCAATTTTCAGCAGCAGTATCAGGATACTGGATCAAAACCCATACATAATGGAGTTAATTTATGAAACACTTTAAGGCAATGTTCCAAGCACCAATACAGAGTTCAAGGCATTTCATCTGAAAGACTTCATAAAGACATTAGTCTTACTTGCCACCTACTCCTTATGCTAACTTTTACCAATAGACGTAAACCCTTTTCTCACTTTTTCCATTTCTAACCCTTTAATAACTCTCTATGTGTTTCTCCAGAATGGAGACCCTTGCTTACAGAATATCCTTTGTGCATTTATTTCACAGTTATAAACTTCACATAATGACAAAGTGTATAGTACACATTTCATCAGATTTTCATAATCTCTATTGTTACTACAAAAATTGAATTGAAAGTATTGTCAGACAGAATCTTATATGTAATTACATGCAGTAAGGTCATTTTAATTTTATGATTTACTAATGAACTAATATTAAGTTATTTGTTACTAAAAAGGTACTATTATCCTCTTTCTTCTTTAGATTTGGCGCAATGATTTATTCACCGAGCACAGGGATCATCCTTAATAACCAGCTGGCAGATTTCTGCATTACTCCTCCTTCACAGCCAATCATGGCAGGTAAGATGTCTGACCACTGTTTGAAGTCAAATGGCATTAGAGGGGGTAGAGCTAGGTTAGTGGTGTATAGCCAGATCTCAGAGGCCTATCTAGAACAAATTGCTCCCCTTGCATCCTGTTCAGCTTCTGGCAACCAGTGATGTTGATGGTTGCCAGGAGCTGGACGGGATGCGGGCCAGAGCATCCCAGGTTGCTAAGAGTTGGGCAGGGAGATGTTTAAGGGCCATACACATTTCTCTGCCCACTCTGGTTGCTAAGAGCTGGACAGGGAGATGTTTATGGCCCTTACACGTCTTCCTGTCACCTCATAGCAACCTGGGATGCTCTGGCCAGCGTCCCGCCTAGCTCTTGGCAACCAAAGACATCACTGGTTGCTAGGAGCTGGGTGGGACGTGGCCAGAGCATCCCTGGTTTCTAAGAGCCATGTGGGGAGATGTGTACAGGAGAGGGGTGGGGAGAGAAAACAAGTCCCCTGTCTCCGTGGGTCGGCAAACTTTTACTGACCCATGGAGCAGTACCCCCCACCCTTCAAGTGGTGCCCAGGGCATGTGCCATATGTGCCATACCCTGGCTATGCCACTGCCAGGTCTAGAGTAGCAGGTTTATAGGGAACTGGCAGTCTGCCCTTGGTTTTCCAATCTTATCAAATTACTTCATATGGGCACTACTTCTAACGTGGCTCATTTTTTAAATCTATAAAGTGCCAAATGTTTTATTCAGTTCTGAACATCTAGGTACCCCATGATTGATTATACCACTTGAACCATTGGATATGCACTTTCTTTGATAGGGTGACAATGCTCTTCCTTCTGCAGTAAAATAACTGCAGTGTTGCCTCCTTGCTGCTGCTATAGCTGCTTAGATGTTGGCACCACTGATAGCCCTTTAAGTAAATAGCCATGCCTAGCTCTACCCACAGCCTTTTAGATTGACAGCACATTGCTGTTTCTACATGAGTGTGCACGTCCTAGTTAAATAACATGCGAGCCCTCCCACCGACCCTTACCCCTAGCACTGTGTACTATTTGCACCAGATATTCATGATGCTGTGACCTGCAGAGATTTCAGAGTGATTTAATGGTGAAATATTAGCATTAGCCATATCAGCCATCACAAAGTACATTGTTTCCTTCTGCGGCTGCTGCTAATGATAATCACGATATCATGTAATATTAAAATCATTGTGGACTGTGTAACTGGAAGAAGTGAATCATGCTCCTGAATAGTGATTCTGCTGGAGATTGCTGAAAGCTCTTATCAGCATGATGTCAGGCTGGGTGAGGCTGCACATTGTCAAATACTGGCCCCATCATCTCTCATTCTCACACCAAAACATTACAAGCCAAGAAAGGCAGAAAGAAAGACCTTACATCACTAAGACTAAATAATAATAATAATCTAATTGTGTACATTTATATTCATAAATACATTTAGCAATGACTTTGAAGCATAAATTTACTGTCACTTTTTTGTTCTTGTACATTAAAAACCACACTGGACCCCAATAGAGATTCTAGGTGTGTTGAATCATTTAACTAGGAGGGTCACCATGGTTCAGCTAAGCTTGGCAGGCTGACTAGAGTGTAATTGCTGGTTCGCCTCTAAGGGCCCATAACAAAGGACAACCTATTTTGTGTCTATCTTGTATGCAGAGCCGGCAATGTACATCCTTGTCACATGTAGGATAACCTTGGGACTGCACCATCTTTTAGGGTTAGTTCACACCAGAAACTACCTCACAACTGCATGCGTATGCGCGGTTCGTTTGCACTGCGCTTTGATGCTTTTAGTGCAGTTAGATGCAGGTAAAATAGGACAAGCAGTACTTTTTCTGACTGCATCTGAACGGACTGCAATGGTGTGAATTAGGCACAAGAAAGCCCAAAGGAAAGCATTGGGATGTATTTTGACTGCAGCAGTTAAAATAAACGGACTGCATCACAACTGCATATGGTGTGAACAGGCCCTTACACAACTCTTGAGGCTCAGTGGAAGCTAATGAACATGTAACAAAGATCATTCCTTTCCCAATGGATTTTTTTTTTTTTTTTTTTTTTTAATCAAATGCAGTTTTTCTTGTCAAACATCAACTCTGTATAATCAAAGTGAAAATATGGTTGTTCCTGTCTCTCTAGGGCAGCAGCCCCCATCTTCCATGACCCCAGCCATCCTTCTGTCACATGACAAGAAGTCTCAGTTGGTAATAGGCGGTGCAGGTGGGGTGAGGATCATAAGTGCCACTACACAGGTAGGTGCTTGTTTTATGTCTATACTAGTCTAAAGGTGCCCACACACCTTGCAATAATCGTACGATAATTGCGGGAAATCCCGCGATCGTACGATTATCGCAAGGTGTGTGGAAGGCGTGCAACCATTTCTACTGTACAGTCGCACGACTTTCGTCTTTCGAGCATGTTCGAAAACCAGTCGAGAATCGTACGATTTTCGGCTTGTTTGTAGCATGATCGTGAGATAGCTGCCGCACATGCCGGTGTGCGCAAGCGCACACTGCCTGTTCAGCATTGAGGTCATCGGAAGCCCGCCCCTCAGCGGGGCGGGCTTGCGATTATCGCAAGTGCGATCTGCCTGTCCAAGATGGGCAGATCGATTTTTTTCTGTTACTTCTAATGTCATGCCATAAAAATGTGATACATTATTTTTACATTCAACCCAATAGAGTTCTGTAAAGCGCTCTGAAATAGTTTATACATACTCATTATTATATATTTTATTATTATATCATTGTTCTTGCTGCAGTTTTTTCTGGTCAAAAATAGAAAACCTATTGTGCTACCACCTGAGGGTGATAGAGAGATTCTTATTCAGCTGTCATTTACATAGGAAAGCCCTATTAGCTTTATAGTTTTCTGTAGAGATATTCGTTTCTAGAATGGATTATATAAAAACTAGCCAATTAGCTATGTGTAAGTTTTAATTCCTGGAAATGACTCTACTGGAAGCAGAAGCAGGTACTTTGAAAGGCTACAGCAGTACACCTTAACTTTGACAGCTAAATAAAGGTAAACTGCGATGATAGCAATATGGGAGCGGCTTTTACTGCCTTTGTTTTTAAAGCTGTAGTGCCAGGCAATGCCATCCTGCCACTGGCTTCATTACCTGGTGAGCCTTGTCCTGGAACATGCACTGAGCTAGTAAAGCCTCAAATGTGTGAACTCCTTTCCTGTATGCTTGTTGCTGCAAGGTATTGAAGCCAGGATCAGGATGATCACATAAAAGTGACAAAGATGCTGGGTTAAGAAGTTGTAAACGATTACCACCTTTCATTCCTCTGCTCTTAGCTCTGTTCAAGAGCTACAGGTGCCTGCATATTTTTCACATTCATCACTTCATGGAATATCGGATGCTTGCATTCCTCGCCATGCACTGGCACTGTGGTTCCTTCTGCTGAACCTTATGTCATTGCTGTGTCCTGGAGTATTGTAGGGGCTAATGGAAGAAAGCACAACATGTAGCAGGGGACTCAGGCATCTGACACACCTGAATTGTGTAAAGTCCATTACTTTGTGACAGAGCAAAGTTTAGAGCAGAGCAGGTGCTGGGACAGGTGAGTCTTTTGCAGGGGTAAGCTATTATATTTTTGGCAAATCGCTGCAAAGGACTGCCCCCACAATTCAGAGTTCTCCCCGGCAGCCCAGGATAAATATACTCTCCGGAGGTGAATAAGAAAACAGTAAAATCATCCTTATTCTTTATTGACAGTCCCCAAGTACAGAATCCTTCCTCCAAAGAATTTGTTGTCCACATGTTTATTTTTACTCACACTGAGTCTCAGTGGCCATCAGCAGCTTCCATTAGTAGGTTCAGTGGAAGAAAATGTGGCACTAATACATAAGAATATTTCCATGCAAACATAACTTAACCTACGTTATGTCAATATCCAATAAGCTTCTTAAGTTGCCTATATATCAGACTGGAATTGGAAGCTCTTTATAAAATCACCGGCATTTACATAAGTCACCTTCCACAGCCGTGTTTTGTGTACTCCTTCAAAATCCATAATTGCCTCTCTTTAGTTCACGTTAATACAGTTAGTAGATATCTATCTTTTCAGCAGAATAAATTAAGTAATTTCTTCTATGTGACCCTGCGCTGCTCTGGTTTGTGCAAATGTAGTTTAATGAATCCAGAAATGGCAAAATATGTGCTTACATTCATAAGGGTCATAATGGTTCCAGCATATCTAGTAAACAATGCAATGCCTTGAACATATGTTACACACTGCCTGGCCAAAAAAAAGTCACACACGAGTGTTGCTAATGAGCATCCAGAACAGACAAGTGATTCAGTCACCTTAATCAAATCAGCATTGAATGTGTCAAGGCAAATGTTGATTGTCAGAACATGAATGGAGTTGTGAATGTTTGTAAATCCACCCTGGTTTTTTTTATTACATAGCCCCTTGGTGCCATGAAGTATGAGGAAGGTGTTAATTGTTTAAGTTACTTGGCTGAAGGTGTAAATTGTTGTGAAGCTGCTGGGTAAAGGAGTTAAAGCAACATTATACAAACACATAAATACAGTTATCATCCATCTAGAACTCCTAAACTGTTTTTGTTGTGAAGTGTGCCATCTAGTGGTGACAAATCAAACCTCCATAAATATGAGGAAACAATGCTTGCACCAATAAATGCATAAAACGTTTCCTGGAAGACCTGATTTTATAACATGAATGGGTATGTCCTCTTATAAAAGAAAATAATATTTTTCCTCCTTTATCAGCTAGTATTTACACAGGTACCAATGCTTTTGCTGAGTCCTCCCATCACTGACAGTCAATGTAAGGAAGCATTATTCTTTTGATTGCCCAACAATGTAGGGGCATTCTTGCTTTCACTGACCACCATCATAAGGGGGCATTCATCCTCCAACTGCCCACCAATGCAAGGGGGTATTCTTCTTCCTAACAACCACCACTGTCAGGTAGCATTCCTCTTCCCATTGCCCACAAATGTAAGGTTGCACTCTTCTTCCCACTGCCCACCAACGTAAAAATGTTCTTCCTCCTTCCACCACCTTTTACAGTGGTGATTAGAGGGAGGAAGAAAACATGCTGGCTCCTGAATTTTACATGTTTTGCAAGTTTAAATACATAGTTACACTTACCGCATCCCAATTTGGGGATCTTAAGAACCCAGAGATCATTAAACAAACATTTTGTAGCTAATGCAAAATCGCAGTAAGTTTTATCTCACACAGGTGGCTCAGCCGCTCAAGAATGAGAGAGCCTTCTACTGACCTTTTTGCATTCACTCCTTTGCTGGCCCCCCACACTGCCATATCTCCTTTGCTAGCAAGGCGCTAACGAGGGAGAGACATCTTGCTGGAGCAGCTTGTGACGGAGCAATTCCTTTACTGGCAAGTGGTCTCTGACATGACATGGCCTCTCAATGTTCATAGCTACAAATGTTTGTAATTTGTATCCTTCTTCTTCTAGGCTTTAATAAACAAGCTGTGGTTTGGCTACAACCTTGAAAAAGCCATTTCGTTGCCTGTTTTCCATGTCACAGCCCGTAACCACCTAGACTTTGAGAAAGATTTTAGCAAGGTAAGATATATTTTAAGTAATTGCAAAGAGTGAGTTGAGGTGTGCTGGCTACTAGTAATGCATAAAGAACTATAGCTATCCTTTCTGAACTATCGTATTCTGTGTTAGAAAAATTAACATAACATTTTTAGATGTGAAGATTTTCAGAACTACTACTTTCAGTAGAAATAGTTTGGCTGACACTCAGCTGAGAGTCTGGCCTACAATGTTAATTTTAGGACCTATTTTTGTATATCATCCTTCCTCCTATCTCCCTTACTAACCACCTTAAGGCCTTGTTCACACCGAAAGCGTGTGCGTTCCAGAGTGGTAGCTGCTGGAACGCACCGCGATCGCTAAGAAACCTTTTCCCCGCGTTTTGGGGCGGGAGGGGGCGTGGCGGTGCATTGAATTCAATGGCACTACTTCCACTCCGCCCCCACACACCCGCAGTGTGATCGAACTCGTGGAAAGACTTGCTTTATTTTTTGCGTTTTCAGTGGAACGCAACGCTGGCAACGTTTTGCCACACGTTTGATCGCACTGCGGGCGGGGTGCGCGGGGGGGGGTGCGTAGAAGCGGTGCCATTGAATTAAATGCACCACCACGCCCCCTCCTGCCCCGAAATGTGGGGAGAAGTTTCTTAGCGATCGCGGTGCATTCCAGCAGCTACCGCTTTGGAACGCACATGCTTTCGGTGTGAACAAGCCCTTAACTGCTGTGAGAGGAAGACACAGCAGTACAGGGGGACTCTAGAGGCAGAGGACTGTAACATTATGGGGAGGGAGATGTTGGAGGAGAGGAATTGTTTAGTGGAAATGCTGGGAGGCAGACAAGATGAGCAGTATAGAGAGACCGAAGATGAACAGCAATACAGGGGGATGCCGGGGCAGGCAAGAGGGGTGAGCAGTACACAGAGCACAATGGAGACAGAGGTAAGGTAAAGGGCAGATTCTGGAGGAGAGGAGAACATGAGGACACTGGAGGTAGTTGCAGGGTATGGTCCAGCTGGGGCACCGGCTGCAGTGAACGGCAGTACCAAGGGGCGCTAGAGGCTGCGGTAACTGTTTCCAAGAACCACCTGCACTCCTTATAGTCTGCAACCTTCCAATGGTGGTGGTGATCACACGGATGGCAGGGACCCTTCATCCGAGCGACATAGTGCCACTATGCTTGCCAAAAGCTTTCCACACCTGCTTATATGGAATATAATATCACTTTGCGCAAGAGGATGTCAGCTAAAAATAAACATCTTCATTGATTTCGGGCAGATATCTCACATATCTTCAATCATGGATGATTTGACACTTTTATAATTAAGCACCTTAGTTTCTGAAATTGCTGGAATCTGACAGTTTTGCCTAAAATTAAAGGATGATTGACATCATTATGTGTCCAAACAGACCTTTGAGATATATATATATA